TAGATTTGTAAAATAGATACCTAGGTATCTATGTTGATCAACTTTATACACGGATAGTTTGAAAATAATTATGTACCTAATTTGTTTATACAAATTAATAAAATACTTACTAAACCTAATTACCTACTCAAAATTATGATGTTTCGGGAGTTTTATTTTCCGAGATTAATGTAGACCAAATTTTTTTAATCATGTGATACCTTCTGCCTACCCTACTTCAAATCTCTGTGCACGCCCCTGCTCTTGGTCATGGGCAATGTATTTAATTAAAATCTTATTTAATTATATATTTGTCACTGCTTTAAACCGCGATATAGTTCTTGTTATGGACTATAGCCGAGTTTGTCGTCAAATACGTGAGTAAGCCGAAAAGCATTTTTTTAAGGGGGGAATATCATCTAATGACTGCTCCCGCCTGGGTGAGGCGGGAGGGAGTGTCAGACTCTTACTGACTAAAAACCACCCCGTTCCTTCTCCTGCACGTCGAGCTAAAGCCCCCGTAACCCGCTAGGTTCTCCGTGACAAGCCGAAAAGCATAATATTTAATTTCGTATATCTCTCGAAGTTATCACTATCACTACATAGTATAAAACAAAGTCGCTATCCGCTGTCTGTCTGTCCCTATGTGTGCTTAGATCTTTGAAACTACGCAATGGATTATGATGCGGTTTTTTTAATGGATAGAATGTTTCTTAAGGAAGGTTTAAGTGTATAATACATGCATATTGCACCCATGCGAAGCCGGGGCGGGTCAAATATAATGCATTTTAACTAACTAATACACTGTCACTTTTGAGAATTCAAAACAGAGTTGTCCGTCAATCAGTTTAATAACAAAACTAGCTTTGCCAGTGTCTGTGTGTATTAAGTAAGGTGTATAAATTGGGCTCGAGTGAATAGGTTCCTTATAAGTAAGCGTGCTCCATCGTCAGCCACATCATCGCTTACCACCAGGCGAGTCAGTAGCCCGACGATGTTAACTATAAAAAAAAGATATCAAAACGTAGATTTAGTATCGTGACCTCGATATTCTTTTAAAAATAACGTTGTTACAGTCTCACACGACACATGACACATTATCCTCACTTTTCATTTAATCATAAAATAATAATGAAATGAAAACCGCGACACTATTTAAAGTACAAACGAACGATTTCTAAAATAAAAACTCCTTGATGCGTTCTATCGAGGATTACAAACTGAATAGGCCAGGTATAATGGGTATTATAAAGATCTATTTGAAAAGGTATTAAATCTCTATTTGCAATTTAAAAATGGAATGTTCTAGAATTTTTTTTTCTATCGGTCTCAAGTAGATAGTGTTCTTGACATTTCGAAAAGTTAATCATTTATTTTGCGCCATTAGACGCATTTAGATCTTAGAGTGAAGAGATTTAGGATTCAGTTTTCTTCAGTTCAAGTTTATTTTTCAAAAGAACTGTATAATATTACGTTAAGCCTTCTTTTATTATCAAAAGAGATAGGCATAGAAAGGTACAAATTAAAAAGGCTATTGGAGTAGGAACGGGGTGGTTTTTAGTCAGTAAGAGTCTTACACTCCATTTCGCCTAAACCAAGATGGGAAACTTAAATAGATGATTATCCTCCCTCAAAAAAAAAGAGTAAAAAAAACATATTTCCATATCAGACACTCATTCTAAAAGAAATTTACGTAATTATAACTACCCCAAAAACATTTTTCTTAAGTCGACTCTCTTGCTCCGTGACTACTTGGCCAGTGATGCACTCAAATGTCATAATTCAAAATTGAAATGGCCAATTAAGACGAATAACCAAAATAAAATAATCATAAGAACATTCTCATTCAAAGCTCTCTGTCGCTTGACATAACAGAAAATACAAGAAAAATAACTAAATATCTCATGAATGGGCACAGAAGTTATTTTCAAAATATCACAACACTCATGACTTCTGACTTCAATACAAGTTTGAATTAGTTCACGATCCGTTGTAGTGGAAAATTGTTTTATCCAATGTATTATATTATTTGTTAGAAAGCTGGAGGATTTCATATTTTTGTTTTTCTACAGCCATTGCATTTAAATGGAGTTAAATAGTTCGAGGGTCATAAAATATCATGACTTTTAGGCTTTGTTTATAAATAACGATATACGATTATATATTATTAATGGAAATACATAAAGACGACTAAAATAATGTTACTACGAATGTTTTACATTTACATTTACATTTTATTTACCAATAACATTACAATATTCATTTAAGGTCCTATAAACCAACTACCTAAGTCTAGTTATAAACATTATAATAATATGCACCTTACAGTAATAAAAGCCACAGACTAAAAAAGACTTACTACGTAAAAAAACGGTTTAATATTTACGAAAAAAAAATCGACGCCGTGGAAAACGTAACGTAAACAACATAATCCGAAAACAGAATAACAAAAGGTAATTTCGCAAGCCGAAAGAAGTGCTGGCCAAAAACAGAATTAATCTGGCTAAAATCCTCAGCCGACTCACGAGAATCGATAGAACGGCCGATTACACAACCGAATACCGCAGACTGTTCTTATTTTCTAAAATGGAATTCCATGGAACGTCGTAAGTGAGGCTCAAAACAAAACACGGGTCTGCCCGGTGTGTTGTGGTGTTCCCCATTCAGTCTTGTTAGAAAGCTAGCTTTAATTACGCGAATACCTCTCGAGTGTTGACGTTAGCCGACACTCTAATACATCTCACACATTGGCACCAACATTGGACTCAGTCCCTTCATACTTCACTTAGATTTGTCCAAAGATTGGTTCAAAAACAGTGTCGCCAATTTGTGGCATGTCTAATTTTCCATAGAAGAGTTTTCACGTCAAATTCGAATATAAAACGCTCTGTTAACTTTCGTTCGTGCTACCGAGATTTGAATTTCGAATTTAGTCAAATGTTGTTTTGTTAAATTTAAATTTCGAACCGTTGCGTTCCAATTTATTTCGTAAAAGTTTTATGCCAATGTCATCGCTAGACTTTTTTATTGACAAAAGAGTGTTGGTTTATTGAATAAAAACTTTTTGTTGTTGTCGTTGTCATTTTTGGTAGAATCAAGAATTCACTTGCTGGATACTGGAGGATAGAAGGTTTCTTATTAAATTGTGTAAATTATAATTTAGTATGTCTCACGAAAGTTATATTATAAATTGTGTTATGTTGCAATATTCAAAAGAACAATCATTGCCTTTCAAGACTTCTTATAAGTTATACTTATAGTTAATAAGTGTCTAGTTTATTTAACTTTAAACATCCAGTGGGCGTAACATTAATTGTTTTTGTATGAACTTCGTCATTTTAACAATATTTATTAATTTTCCTTGATACAACGGATATCCTTTTGCAAGTAAAACTGAGACGCGACTTAGATTAAGCTTCCAATTAGTTTTGTCTTCAGAAAATATTACTGTATCAGTTCTAGCTAGTATTACGGACAGGCGCACAAAATATAGTTATTTGTGGTATTACAGTAAGAAAAGTGAAGAAATGTTTTTACTTGATCGATCCAGTACGAATTTTGGTTTATTTAATAAAAAAATAGCATTACAATTAAAATGAACTTGCACCTCGCTATATGAAAACTATTCCTATTTTAAGGACTTCTATGTTCAAACATTATGTCAATTGTACATAATCAATACATTACATTTTATCTAATATAATACAAATTGGGCCTACTGTTTCCCTTAACAATTAAATAAACTTGATAGCTAATCCATTGAATTACATATTGTTGTCATTACAATTTACGGACACAGACTTCATCTTTGTTTTACACTGAATAACTCTTAATAAAAACTGAACAATGTTAAGAAGTACTTACTTAATTATGTCAAGGACCGAAATGTTTACATAGCCTTGAAAATATTTCGGAGATTTATTTACAAGTCGTAGGTATTTTGATTACCTAATTCCCTTCACTAGCATAACAAAGCAGTTATGGTAATTTTATGGAAAATAATACATTTATTATCCATCGTTATGATCTGACCAATCGTAGGCTTTCGTAAAACGTAAACACATTATATAAATTACACCACCATTTTATATATAAACTTTAAAGAGTTTCTTACAACACTATGTTCTGTGGACAGTGTTTACTGCATGCGAATATAGCCCATATTTTATTGGCAACACGGGTGGAAATAAAAACATCATAGCGGCTCTTATTGCACCGTTGAACATACGCAATAACGCGTTTTATTGCACGGAAAGGATTTTACAGCTTTACCACTATGCGGTAGGAAGTATACCTACAGTTTTCGCACACAATTATTTGCAAAGCACACGAAAATTTATTAGAAATCCAAGGTACTTATGAAGGTTTTTGGAGAACAAACAGAGTATGAAAGAATCGCTTAGTCTCGGAAATAAAGAGACATTTGACCAGAACACTAGAAGGAGCAATGGTTTGTAATTTCCTCGTATTTTATACGACAGTACATATAAATTTCCCCGTTCATTAATTCGGCATAAACACTGTCTCGAACATTTTGCTGGAAGAAAACAGCCAGTGTGGAGCGTAATAAAAATAAAAATGGCGGCGGCAGAAATTTGGAGGCTGTTCGCTTCGCAGCGACAAACTACGGACGACTATAAATGTGACTAGTTACCTCATCATTAACTGTTCTTTATTTTATTTGTTACTTTTATTTATTAAATCACTCATCGATGTCGTACAACGGGTTTAGAAAGTTTTCGAACAGCCTTCACTGATTCCGCCATTTTGTAACCGTGTCGCTTGTTTTGTCCGTTATTATTGCTTTTGGGGTGTTTTGTATTATCGCAACTGTTCGAAAACTTTGCACTGTTTGTATTTTATGTTGTTTTAGTTGATATTTTATTGAGTAGTTTTGTGTTTTTAGTGTAGCTTTGATTTTTGTACACCTCAATAGTGTCTAACATTGCGCTACTAATAATCTGTTCTAAATTACAATTCTTTATGTCTTTAAAATGTAAATGTTTGATATTTCTCCTTAGGTACGTATTCACAATAGTGAGCTATTTGATTGGCGTGTTCATATTCGCCACTATAGTGGGGCAGGTCGGCAATGTTATCACAAATAGGAACGCGAACAGACTCGAGTTCGAGAGACTTCTAGACGGCGCCAAAACTTACATGAGACATCATAAGGTAAGACAGTTGTACGGACTAGAGTTGATTTGGGAAAATGAACCTTATTGCTAGGAAGTACTTAATTAACTATGTTGTTTACATGAGTCTAAGAAGAATTGAACTAAGTAGTGAAACTTATAGAAAATGCAATAAGGTTCCATACATTTCAAAAAATTGTAACATAATAATGAAAAACAATGGAAATAAAACCTTTTACAGAAAGGTGCGCCCACGCAGCAGTTATATAACGTTAGAGACTGACTTAACATTTGTTTTTAAACAAATTATAATAAAAGTTGTAGTAGTAACTCGACACGTTGTGGAGTTTGTTAGAATGCACGTTTGACGAGGTGACTGGGCAATTGGCTGCCTCGCAACGTGCAGCGGGTTCGATACCCGCACGAAGCAGCTATTTGTGTGATCCACAAATAGTTGTTTCGGGTCTGGGTATTTATGAACGCTCCCACGATACAGGAGAAAATCCAAGTGCGGGGCAACGTTTAAGGCCTCACCGCTTCACCCGCGTCATTCAGGCGGGAGAAGTAATTCGACGATTTACCTATTAAAAAAAATTGAGGCTCTTAATCAAATCCATCACAACCCTAATCAATTTTAAAAACGAAACATTAAAAAAAAAACAAGAAAATGTTACACGCTGTTATAAATATTATAGTGTTACACAATGGTATAATGTCATGTAACTGCTGAGTGCGAGAGCACCTTAACACTGAACTGAATTCCTTACTCAACAAAATGAAAAAAAAGAAAATAACCCAATGAAAATTCCGAAAATTAACATTCAGCACAAAACCCGTATCTTCCCTAATACTCTGACAATGAACACCAAAGGGCGCTGGAGCGTAAAATTCCGTTTTGCAAAACGATGTGATATATTTTGCAGGTGCCAGGTGGTATGAAACGGCGTGTGCTGCGATGGTACGATTACTCTTGGTCCCGGGGTCGGATTCAAGGGGGCGGGGACATAAATACAGCCTTGGGCTTGCTCCCGGATAAACTGAAGACAGAACTTGCTTTGCACGTCAATTTGAGTGTTCTGAAGAAGGTAGGTGTTATTATATACGGAGTGTTTTTTTGCTCAATGATAATAATTTTCCAATCCATTGCTTTGGTTTCGTTTGCAGCTTTTACCATCTCTTTTTCAAACATATGGGGTGTGTTTTTAAAGTCATTATCATACACCAAGCATGTTAGAATAACTACGCTGATACCACATAAAATATATCCCTCACTTTTTGGTTCAATTACACCTTATTTATTAATTAGACTTTAACAAAGTTATCATTAATAAACTATGGTGTTAAACTATTTTCCAAAAGTATGAAACGAACATTTTAACAAAACCTTTAAAGTGAAATGTCAAACACCAAAATGAACAAGGAATTCAAATTATAAACTTATTCATTCGACATTGCACCAATCAACACAATCATGAATAATCTCGTAATCTCAACAAATAAAACTCTAATTATAGAGAGAAGTCGTTAGCTACCTACAAACGAGGGTTGACCTATATCCCGCAGTTGACTTCATATCACTCTGTACGGCAGCTTCTACGGGTCTTTTATTTTCAGGCCGCTATGAAACGGGGCCCCTCGTAAAACCTACCGAAATAAATCGTAAATTTCCTCATCAGTTCAGCTTCCTCTACTAACACCTTATTTCTGTTTCGATAATGGTTAATTTGCTTTAATTTTACGTTATGTGGTCATCTTTACCTCTATTATCTTGCAAAAGTTGATACAAATTTAGTGCGGTTCAGCATTATTAGCTATATGAAATTAAAAACGAGTTTACATACATAAAAGGTCAAATTCATGTGAAAAATTCGATAGGTACCTCTTTTCTTGACTAGGTATTTTTCTATTTCTACTTACCCCACCATTTTCCAATGCGTTTTATCACCAAAAACCTTTTAATATACTCATCAATCGTTCTCTCCAATTTTACCCACCTCTGTACTCAAAATCGTTGTTCAAAAATGACCTCTATTCCTTTACGTTAAACCCGAAATAGCATGACATACAAACTTGTACCTTACACCTTTATTACAGGTAACAATATTCCAAGAGTGCCAACCAGAGTTCCTTCACGACCTCGTTTTGAAAATGAAAGCATACATATTCACTCCCGGAGATTCCATTTGTAGAAAAGGTGAGTCGTAAAATCAAGTTGCTTACAACTTACAACCAAGAATGTTGAAGAAAAGGCGGACATAGTCTCTTGAAACAAGGACTGTGGCACCTGGCTACTATAGACTTACACGCACATTGATACAAAGGGCATCTGTCACACATACATTACGGTGTTATAAGTACACGCACACATAAATACCGCTGACATTTTGGTGCTTCAATTATTTTTAAGTGGCAATAAGATCGCCTTTTTTCAACGTCCTTACTTACAACGGAGTATAAAAACAAAAGAGTATGGACGGAGTTTAATGAAGTATGTGAATTAAAACTAGATTAGTAAACAAGGGAGCAAGGGACTGCCCCATTATTCACCCACCGCAATATAACGATGTCTAGACAGCTGGAACATCTACGTGATATTTCATTCTGTGGTCACTATGCAAAACAAACTCACAATCTTATTTCTTTAGATATATATAATCGAATAAGTCTCGTGGTGGCCCGGAGGTTTAAGACGCCCGCTTCTCATGCATGAGGGTGCGGGTTCGAAACCTACCAACGGCAAGTACCGATGTCACTTTTCCGGAGTTATATGTACTTTCTAAGATTATCTAGACACCACTGACAAGCGGTGAAGGAAAACATCGTGAGGAAACCTGGCCTTATAATTTCTAATTATAAGTCTGTAATCGTCAACCCGCATTGAGCAAGCGTGGTGTTTAATGCTCAAACCTTTTCCGTGTGAGAAGAGGCTTTGCTCAGCAGTGGGCATTTAATGAATCGAATAATGGAAATCACTGCCATCCAATAGTTGAAAGACATTTATTTGTTCGAAAACAATTTTCGATATTAAAATGTCATCAACGCAAACTAAGTTGGTGTTCCCACAAATTCAATTTATATTCAAGTTTTGGGACAAATTCCCGAATCTGTTTTTGGTAAAGTGGTGGCACGAGGTTTATTAATATGGATTTTTATTTGACCATGATAGAATAAGCATAATTTTATGTAAACTTACCTATTCTAGTAGACTCTGCACCGACAACAAAAATTTAAAAAAATATATATGTTTTAATTATTCTGTTTTCGGCGTACATTCATGAGCAGCATTCCGCTTGAATATGAGCCTCTAGCATAGCTTGAAACCAGTCGAGTTCCTCGTCAAACAGTTACGTGAATATGTCAAAAACATAATAATTAATTTTCCATATCTCACAAACATTTAATATTCAGGATTCAAAATGTTAATATTTGATTTTGTTTTGTCTAATAAATAAGGATTGTTTTAAAAATGGAATTCTATAATTAAAACTTGAAAAATAGAGTAGATCATATTAAAAACGATGTAAAAATTTAATCGATAAAATTTTATAATAGGTTGTATAATGTGACACTAATACGTTTAACTGTAGCGTTTTCGTCCAAAGTAAAAGTAGGTAATGAAATATATTTTAATGACATTCTTTTTTGTATTTACTCCAATCCAGGTGAAGTGGCTCGTGAAATGTTTATTATAGCAGATGGCATATTAGAAGTAATATCAGAACAAGGGAGAGTACTCACTACTATGAAGGCAGGAGACTTCTTCGGAGAAATTGGAATACTAAACCTCGACGGATTGAACAAGTAAGGCACAATTATCGTTAGTGAATACATCGTTACACAAGTTGATTGAATTAGAACTTTAATAGAGAGGAGAATATTCATAGACTTAAACCAAGGATACACTAAGGGACAAATGTTCTGCGACATGTGTCGCCAGCGATGTTGGGTGAGGTACCTGGACGTTGTCAGACTTCGCCCGATATGTCTGGAAACACAGCGTAACACAGGTCGCCATATATGTAAGGCGAAGTCGGCAAGTTTCGCTTGACATATCATGCGACATTTTTCCCTTTTTTTTTAAGGGGGGAAAATCATCTAATGACTGCTCCCGCCTGGGTGACGCAGGAGGGAGTGTCAGACTCTTACTGACTAAAAACCCGTTCCTTCTCCTGCACGTCGAGCCGGAGCCCCGGTTACCCGTTAGGTTTTCCGCGACTCCGAATCGGTATCGGCCCTATTGGGCCCCATCTGTGGTGGTCTGATGGCTCTTTGAGGCGCGCGCGGAACGCGACGCGCCGTACGCTCGGACATTTATTCCCTAGCGTATCCACGGCTTTATACCATTTAAATTTAGCTAAAGAGTTGAATTCATTCCTGGAATTATATTGCTCGCCTGCAAACTTATTTGAATATCCTAGTTTATGTTGAAATTTAGGTCTATGAATATGTAAACATATTTTACGGAATAGCCTTTCTTCGTTTTGTAAACCAATACTAAATTTTATTCATCATCCAATTGCAAATATTGACGTTATATTATATAATGTACCATTTTACAATTGAATACAAAACTAAAGCAATACACTACTTTTTAGACGAACTGCAGACGTCCGATCAGTCGGCTATTCCGAATTATTCTCCTTATCTCGCGAAGATGTGCTCGCAGCTATGAAGGACTATCCCGAAGCCCAGGAAATCCTACAAACCCTAGGAAGAAAACGCCTACAAGAAGCTAAAAATATGTCCAAAAAATGCAAAGGTAAAACCAAAATCTATTTTATTCAAATTAGTGAAGACCTTCAACCCATAAGGTCAAATTGAAAGGTCAAAAAAGGCGCAGGTAAACATAATCTTACTAATAATATAAAGATCCTTCAATGACCCATGAATTATTTCTCAGTAGGAGGAAGGACATATTAAATCTCTACCATAAATAAATTTTTAAATTCTAAGACAATGAGTGTTTTCGTGTCATTATAGAGGTGCTAGTGTAGCATAAGGTCACTAGACATGATACAAAATAATTTAGTAATAATCAATATCAATATGTTCGCCAATTCTGTTATCGTTAACGGCCTTTATACGACACAAGCGCCATCTATACAACGCAAACACGAAAACCCTCATTGAAAATTTCGTAAATAAGGCAAACATTAAAAACTTTAGGACGCAAGCCCAGACAAGATGCTAAAACAATAACGAAGAATTTAAAAGGTGAGAGCAAGCAAACGAATTGTAGATGGTGGAATGAACTATTATGAAACTACTTTTTAAACATTTCGAAAACAGGTATTCTGTTTTCTTGACATTTCAAATGTAATAATTAAACATATCGAAGAATAACTCAAAAGTTTAAAAATAGAAATATTCTCAATGAAACGATAGTATTTGAAAAGTCAAGAAAATATACGTTAAAAAATAGTTTCATTAATGCACGTGATGGCGAAAATCAGAAGCCAAATGCTTAAAATACCACAGCAAAAAAACAGAAAACTATAAATAGGCATGCCATTTTGATCCTCCTGAAATTAATTACGAGTGGGACGCCGATATAATTAACTTAACGAAAGGGCAACACTCGATCACGTCTGGTTTCCCCAAAGGGATAAACAGACAAAAATATTGACTGAAGGACTGACTAACAAAAATCTAAATAACGCTTTGCTTCACCCAGGAAACAAACATCAAAATCAGAGACAGATTAAGGCAATGTAAATTTTTGCCTTAAAATAATAATGTATTGTTTCTCACCGCTTAAAATTTGCTAATAAACTATGTTAAGAATGTAACCAAGGGGAAATATTAATTAACCTGTCTGTTCTAGGCGAAATAAGTCCCGACAAGATGTCTGGCGACGACAGTACATCTAAAAGGATCGTACACAAGCTTCGGAGCGACGTTAAGGTAAACATCGCTATTAAACTTGTAATGGCTATCGATTTTATAAATAGTGAAGCTATGTGCACCTATCAAACATCCCTTAAAGTATTACAAAACATCTAAGTAGGTGTACGATTCTGTAACTACTGATTCGATAGCGAAGCTCACACAAAGCGAAAGAGCTCATTTCGAAATTAATCACACTTGCCTTCAGTTCCGTATTCTGTAAACAATTAATACGAATTATCAAAGCAAAAGTGAGCCTCGAAACTTCATTTTATTAGGGTACTATACTAAATTTTATTTTAACATACGTCTTTTTTCTTACCTATAAAATTAATTTGCGACATTGTGACGTGTGATGTCACGATTTACTAAATTTCATAGGGTACGTAATGACCTACTACTTAACTCTGTTTTATCAAAATATTGTTTTCTTGTACGACAAAATAAAAATATTAATGTTCAATATTTTTTCATTATCTAACTGACGGACTACTAATTTTCAAACACTGTCTACTACCCTATTGTTTACAGAATATTTAAAAAAAAATCCCAACAATTCTTCGCTTTACAATGAATAAACACTTTTCCTCATAAATAGCATCACATTTCCAACCATTCACCCGACAAGGGTTCTATTAAAGACAACATAAACTATAATATTATAGTATTGTACCCCAACATGATAACTTCAAACACAATTAGTCGCAATTTACGGACTAAGCCATTACAATTCGGAAACCATAATTTGAAAACAAACACGGTCGTGTAATGAATAGATCTGATACTGGATTCTGATAGCAATACATTCCGCTGGAGTTAATTTGCTGTGACAGTTTCCAAATTAACTGTTACACTACTGTGGGATACTTTCAATCAGACAAATACATAAATGGACACATTTTAGGCCCAAAAAGCGGGCTACGCTTCTCAAATTCAAAGTTACACTAACTTATCTTGTCACTTAGAAAAATATTGCACAGGAGCACAATTTATCAGATGACATCTTACTATCTGAATAGTTGGGCATATGAAAAACGCTACAGCAGAGCACTGATTGATTTGTTCGCCTGTTAACAGGGCATTCGCAATGCAATCCGAAGCAGATCTCGCGCTGGACGTAGATCTGGAGAGTCATTAGAACTACAAGCGTTAGCTGGAGCTGAGAGGGCTGGCACTGCAGAAGGAAAGGTTCTAAGAAGAATGCCAAGAGTCGAAAGTGATGATTCGGCTCATCCGCATAATCAAGATGTAAAATTTATTTTATCCCATAATCCACATTTTGCCAATAGATCACTATTAACGTAATAGATAAAATACAATGTAACTATTTTCTGCTGTACAGGATAACAATGGAGAAACAACATCTGGTAGCAAAGATGGTGAGAAATGTATATCACCAATAGGAGCAGGTCTTCCATTACTATCACGATTAAAACTACTTAAAGAAAAACAGGTAAATATCGACAATATCTACTGACAAATGTATTGAGGCTTTGAGTCAAATCTAAGAATTTGATTTCTTTCCAGGATCGTGAAGAAAAAGTAGCCAAACAAAGGCATTCTACCTCTTCAGTTTTATCTTTGACACCACAACCAACTCCTTCGACTAGTTCAGCACCAGATGCTGAACCAGAAGTAATTGGAGCTGGCCTTCCTTTGATACAAAGATTGCTCTTACTTAAAGCAAAAGAGGAAAGAGACAAGAACCAACTTACTCCCACTATGAGCAATCAGCCCTCCAGTTCCGACACTATTAGCCCCACTTCTATCAAAAGTCCATTGAGTCCCACAATAAAGACTCTTAGTCCAATCAGAAAAGGTTCAGAATCCAGCTCCCCGGGCAAACTTCAAAGCCCAACCACGAAAACATCCAGGAAAAATTCTTCTGGATCAAGTGATGGAACATCTCGACCCAAAGTTAGTTTTAGAGATAAAATATTACAAGTTCAGAGCGATGGTACAGCTGTATGTCAACCATTAAATAAAGATACCAGCGAAAAGCCTGCTGCCGTCGTAGAACCTACACCAAAAACAGAAAGCAACTTAATTTCAATACCACACTCCGTTGTCAGTAAAATTAAATCCCCAGCAAAAGCTGTAGGTACTACGTTTCGAGATAAATTGAAACTATTACAAAGTGGACCAAAGGACACTGATAATGCATCAACAGAAAAGGCTAAATCAGCTTCATTAGAAAAAGCACCAGTAGAGATAAGTCCGTTACCAACAACTGAGGCCAAAGAAGAACCAAAAAGTAAAAAGCCTTGGACTAAACTTAAGAAGGCAGCTATACTAGGAGAATCAAAAAGCCAAAGCAAAAGTAGTTTAGATGAAAAGAAAGATGAAAGTATAAATACGAGTAGTGAGAAAAAAGATGAAGGTATAGCGGAGGCAGTTGTAAATATATGTGTGCCTATAGTAACCACAGCGGAGCTTGTTAAAATAGACAATAATAATGTTGAAGTTGCTAGTGATAATGATAAAGATAAACCTAAGCTTTGCTTAACAGGCCCTTTGGAACCCGTCCAAGAGAAATCATTAGATTTATTAACTTTATCTCCCAAGAAAAATGTTAATAACGTTACAAAGCCAGCTGAAACTAAGACACATATGTCACCGGGAATGTTGTTACCCAAAGTTAAAAAATATAGGTCAATAGATGATTTATCGCCAGAGTACGGTGGACTACCATTCGTCAAAAAGCTAAAAATCTTAAATGAACGACAGAAATTAGCAGAACTAGAAAAAGTTGTGAAAATTAGAAGTTCTAGTTTAGATTGCACTAGTTCGTCTGAAGATTTGCTTTGTGATACGTTAACTAGAAGTCATTCTGAAGGTAGCACTATGGATAAAAGAAAATTCAAGCGGAAATCTATCGATTCATGTCGAAGTCATGAGTCTAACGAAACTTTAGAACGAAGAGAATTGAAGTCTATTTTAAAGAAGCTGTCTGAAGATGTCACTCCGGCTGAAAGTCCTGAGCGTAGTAATGAGTTAAAGAGATTAATTCGTGCTCCGACTTTGGAAGGATACGCGGCAAGACATTCAAAGTTTGCCAAGAGTGTTACGTTCCATCGTCACACATTACCCTCGCCGCCTGGAAGTGCTCCAGCTGATTATCAAAATGATGATGTTTTCACGATGCCAGAAGTGAATATCAGTTCGATGCCCCAAATTTCTCCACCTCCCCCGCCCGATGTTGAAGTTACGGTACCAGAAATGCCCAACAATCAAATCGCAAGATCAGCCGAACCCAATGCGCCGACAGACTATGGGTTAAACATAAGGGCTGAATACGAACTTCAACAGAACATTGATCCAATGATAGACTTAAAATCACTAAGACCTGAAGAAATTAAAGTGCCTTCAGAGAAACCTAAGCTAACTTTAATATCAGCGGTCGCAAATCAAAGAAAACTGTTGCGAGGTAAATATTTTGTCTAAAATTTTTAGTTATTAGTTAAAAATATCATCAATAATTGACAAAGGTTTGTATTCATTAACAGGCTCCATTGAGGAACAGGAATATTTTGGCGAAGTACTGTTAGGTATCAAACAAGTTATACAAGGACACCTACATGATGTCCAGGGAAAATTTCAGGAAAGGTGCGTAATCAATTAATTAATAATATAGAATAACGTACTTCATCGTTTATTTCACTCGTGACGTCATTATTGCAAATATTTATTAAATATGCTTTTTTAGGTTCAACAGTTTAGAAAACGAGGTTCGAAAACGGGATGAAATAATAAGTCAACTCCAAAAACGTATCCAAGAGTTAGAAAAATTAGGGCTTTCTGGTATGAGCCCAACTGCACCACCATCTGGAGAGGTGCCTTCAATAGTTCCTGAGTCAGTAGAACCTACTTCTACCAGTCAGCCAATATCAAAAAGTGCTAGCTCGGGTAGTGAAGATGCTTCAGCTGCCGAAGAAGGATTTATGGTGAGAAAATGGGATTCCTTTTCTACATGTTTCAATTTGCTAAAGGATCAAATTTTATTGTACTAATTAGGATTAGATTAAGTAATCAAGATTCAATATTACAGAGGGGTGATTCACTCGATACCGTTTTCGCAACATCACCACCAACAGCAAGCGCTGACGAGGCAGAAAGAGACAGGTCACCAGAAAACGAAACTGCTGGCGCAAAAGAAACCCTGTCTCCCGACGACCTCACTGAAGAAAACCTTAGAGAACTAACAGAAGGAATCGAACTATCAAAGTTAAGTTACGCAGAACTACAAAACTTAGCCGTGTCACTTTCACGAACTGATAAGACTTCTTCGAGTAGAGAGCAATGGACTATCAGCAAATCGAAGAGATTAGATCTAAACTTAGACGGCAAAGCTGGAACATATTCGAGAAAACGTGCAGCCAAATTGAAGCAACGAAAGTCTTGGGAAGACCAAAGTGACCAAGAGAGCATGGAGATGCAAGACTTGACGAGGTTTGACTTGATTTTTTTAAATAAACGAAATACGAAGTTTGGGTCCCTTTCTATCGAAATTTTTATTTGAGTATTTATTCCTATTTCATGTGCTAGCGTATTATTGTATTCATCAATATGTATTTGAAACTAAACAGTCCAAACTTACAGATTAAGAAGCGTTCCGTCTTTCAGGCCACTTTCTCCCCACACCACTTCAGAAGACCGGTCTCTCTTAAGCCCGGAACAGTCCAGTTTGCGCTCCAGTAGGAGACACTTCCATTTCTTCGGATCACATCTTGACAACACGAAGTCGAAGATCAAAAAAACCTTGTCGGTGGACACTGGAATGCATCACACTGGGAAGAATGAAAGGAGTAAGCTATACGCAATGTTTCAATTTAACGTGTAGTCTTTTGTTCCAAATTATTATTCTGTTACGGATTATCGACCAATCTTCGGGTAAAAACAATATAAAATCTGTATTGGTGGTTAAGTGGGGAAAGAGTGTGAGAAATAAATTGGACATATATATTCATCATCTAACCTTATTTCTGTTTTAGAACCTATTCAGAAATATTCATCTTTTTTGAATTTGATAACAATCAAACCTTCAACTAACCGATTGGCTCTCTACCAAAAGGCTACACGATATGACTATTTTTGCTTCAACTATTATTATTATTGAAATGGTAAGGCATCTGTTATTCAGAGGGCCGGTCGCGGCAGCATCGCAAGTTCAGTTTGGGTTCCCTCTTCCACCGGACCCCAACTCAAAAACCTACGAACAACTGCAACGATGTCGTGCTCGATATGGGCAGTGACTACAGCTGGAGTGATGCGTGAGTAACAAAAAAAAATATTTTACATTACAATATTGAATGACGTTTACCTCTTCCTACGAAAAGGCTATTAATGTAATACTTACTTATTGATTCCAGAGGATCAACGTCGTCTAGCAGTGATTCAGAGTCATTACCTCGTACGCCGATGTTCGAAGAGTTTGTAGAGAACAACTCAAGGAGAGGCCGAGCCAGCAGCTCTAGTCATGGCAGCTCGTCACCTATTAGAGGTAGTTTTCTTTCGTATTGTGAATTCTTGTATTTCGAATTTATCTGATTCTACTTTTAAAACTTTACTGTACTGTTTTTAAGCTAGACACAAAATTAAATCTATGTTGGACTAGTGTAAAACATTTTAGCTTATCCTAAGACGAAGATTACAATAGGGTTGTGTACTGGTGGGGTGTCATAACTTATCTGCGATCTGATTCCTGACTGCGTTAATGATTCCCTTTTATTTACATACAGTATATATACCTACTTAAGTATATGCTATTAAATTAGATAAGGTACGGTGGGGTTGACGTATCCAAAAAAAAATCTACCTACATACATTAGTACTTAACTGTCATTCCATCTTAGACAAAAAGTACAGTGCGTGACCTACTACGATCCTTGCATACTTTTATAACTTCTCTGATCATTAAGCATGCTGGTTGAGAAATCAAAACTATTTTATTTAAATTACAGCGTTACCTGGAAGTGGGGGTGACTGGGAGGTTATGATGCTGGCGGATGAACTGGAGAAGAGGGAACGAGAAAAGGAGAGAGAAGATGCTAGGAGACACCTATACCCAACAACGTTAAGAGACTTGGAAGAGGTAAGATGAAAGACATTTCAATAGCAAGTTTTAAATCAATGAAATGTCAGAAGTAGGTTCACTCTGTATTCAGTTGGAATACTTAATGTAACGTGCTCTGCTGAACACGTCACACTTGTCAGGTGACTTAGGGACCGACGGCAGTTAGGTCACCGAATACTTAGAACATCTTGTCATAGTATCTAAAAAACCAGACATATTTTAGATACTCATGTCCCTCCAATTTTTACAGGAATCAGACACCCCTCAGCGAGATGACAGTCCGGACGAGTACTCGAACATCGAAGACTCCAACTCCTCATCCACCACCCACCTGCTCTCCCAGTCCATCAGTGATGCGTCACAGCGGTCTTTGGAGACTTCCTTTACTGAACAAACCAGTAGAATCGGGAGGGAGCCGAGGCAGAGACGTGTTGGGTCCGTGGGAGAGCCGGTAAGACCTTTAAACTGCTAAGTTACACAAACTTCTGTACTAAAGTAATATGATCGAAAATCCATCTAATATTATTCTTCCGCACTCCTGTTTTAACAGTTTTCCGTTTAATATTTTTTGCCTAATTCTTTTTCAATATCGTCAGGTACAACCCGACTCCTCCTTCCGCCAATCGCGAGGTCTCATCCTCCGAGCCGCGAGCTTAGACCGAGAGACCACCCCGACCACCTCCACAGGCGCGCGCCGCTTCGGCTCCCTCAAGAGTGCCAGCACTGATTCGCACAAGAGACTCTGATCCGCTTGGCCGAGCGGACACGCCCAGTCCGACGCCTTTCAAAGAGGTCCAAATGAAAGTAATGTGATACAAGATACGGCTCAAAATTCTCAGGTAACTGTAAATCAGAATGATTTAGGAAGGGGTAAGAATGATCTCAACGAGGGTAAAAGTGATTTACATAGGGGTAAAAGTGATCAAAATGGGAGTGATCATAATAAAAATAGTTTAGGTAAGGATGGTGCACGTCAAGGAATGGACGGAGGGAATGGAGGCCAAAACGATAGAGAGATTAGAAATAAAGATAATAACGAACGAGAGAATGCGAATCCGAACATATTCGATCAGCTGACAGTCAGCGGTCAATTACTGATCGTCATTATTTTTTTTGACGATGAATTTGACTATGTAATTTTCTTAGTACTACAATAAGTAAACTGTGTTGTGTTGAGTGAATATTGTATGACTGGTTTATACTTGGCATTGGACAATTTGGAAAAAATGCTACATTTTTCTAAAATAGGTATTAATATTATTATCGCATTCTCTAAACTTCTAAACTCACATTAATTTGTAGATTATAACCATAGTAGCATAATATTGAAAAATAAAATGCAGAAAAAAATTCTATTGTTTTTTTCTAATTCGTCTATTGTCAAGTGTGTGTGTTAAACTATATTTCTATTTCATCTACTCTTTATCGTAGTTCTATCCATCTATCGTAATCTATCTAGGAAACTAATGTAGATATTCTAGATTTAGTATAGCATATAGTTTAGTACCTATATTTGTTTAGTATATTATTTTAAATTATAACTATATTCTAGTCTTGTTATTTTGTGGTGCACAAATTAAATCAATCAATTAATTAATATATTTCTAGTATGTTTTCAAAACATACGAAAAATGTTCCTTTTCATTTATCTATTTGTAAGAATAAAATTATTTCCTAGCTGTTAATAAATGAAGCAAAATGTTTCAATTTGGCTTTATATTGCTACAGATATAATACTGATTTACTTTTTTTGTTGTAAAAAAGATGAGAAATTATTTATCGAATCTATTTCTATGTTTCTGCTTTATGTCAGTAAATGAACCTACCTCTTAAATTTACCCTTGATTTATAATCATTAAAAATTAATATTTTTACATTTATGCTATATTATTATTTATTAATATTGTTACCAACGCTAATAAATAATAATTATGTTACTAGATTTTATTTCATGTTGTCTATTCATAAAAAAAATCATTATTTATCAAAGATATTTACATTTTTTGCTGTGTACTTGTCAAAGATTAGCACAAGATTAAATTATTATTATAAAAATAATAAATGTTTAATAATAAAAATCCTATTAATTTATGAAATATTAATTCTAAGTAGATAGGTAGTTGTATGAAATGTTTAATTTTAATAATGTCCGTTTAATTTATTTTTAATTACTATTAGTGCCAAATAACTATTTATTGTAGAATCTTTTAAAATTAATTAATTTATGTAGATGTTATTCTTATTGTAAATAATGTATGAAAACATTTATTCGAATATTATTGTAAATTAGAGAGTTATTATACATGTAACAAAAAGGATTTTAGATAATATTAATAAAACTTAGATATTTTAGGTATCAATTATGCTTTACTAAAATGTGAAGTTAGGTAATGATAAAATAAATAAATTATAATTTTTAACCCATAAATGTTTAAGAAACTAGAGAGATTATTAAATTATGTAATAATATCGATACCTACAGTGTAAATTGTGAAGATTGATCTATTCGATTGAAATGTAAAAATATCCCATGGAGTACAACTCTAAATAACAAATCCTGTATATCAACCTCAACACACCTAAACTAAAAAAGAAAGTTCTGAAATTTTTAATCTACAAGACAATTTTTTTTTTCATTTATAATTTTTTGACAGCACTTCCTATTTTTTTCATTGCATTATAATTGGCGGGATAATTGACATTTGACAAGCCCGACATTTTCACTTAGAATTCTATAAAGAACGCCACACACTACACGATTAATTTGTATCCGTAAAATAATAGTCAAATAAAAACTGCACCAAAATAAGAAATCCGAATTTCAATATAAACATATTGTAATTTAAAATAATACTGAACATCCAACTGGGTACAATTTTACACTTTTTAAAAATGTAGGTGTATCTGACTATGTTTGCTTTTTTGTATATAATTACTTGAATTATTGTGTACCAAGGTAACAATCTGCAGTTTCTATTTGAATTCGTATGTACAAACGTGCGAATTTGTTTAATATTCCTAGTTATTCGATAAATAATGTTGGAGGCCAGATTTATAAATAAATAGGTTCAATAGGGTAGACGACTAATTTTTATTTTAACGTCCGTCTTGTAGATTATTTAAAAACATTAAACACGTATTTTTTATTTTCTTACGGAAACGAATAGTTTCGAAGATATGTTGATCAGTACATTTTATACTAAGAAATGACGTTTTCAAAGTTTAGGTGTGGGGACTCCTAAACTTTGATTCGTTTTATCCAAGTATTGTTTTATTATACGACAAAATAAAAAAATATCTACGTGTCTAATAGTTTTTCATAACTTAACTGACGGAGTAATTAGATTTTTAATTTTCATACCCTGTCGTCATCCCCATTCTGTTCAATTCTTTTTGTATAGTTTTACGAAAATATTTTTAAAATATGTAAATTATATAGGTATCTACGTAGTAGCTAAAAGAATTCGCACGAATGTCAGTGATTATATTTATTTTTATTTTTATTTATCAGAAAAACAAGCACTCCTTAATATTATTGAACTGGATATCTATGACGAATGTATATCTATATATTTTTAATTAATCATAAATTATTAGTTTTAGGTGTAAACTCATACGAAAAGATGAAAATAAAAATAAAATATTTAAAACAGACATGTGTTTGTTCTTTATTTGATTTCCTCTCAACTACTTATTTAGTGGAGACCCTTTACCCAAAACAGTAAATAGTAAAATACATTCAAATAATGACTGCATCGTTGGGAGGTCGCAAGTGCGACTGTCGGGCATGGGGTCTCGGGTTCGATTCCCGGGTCGACTGAAGTATAGCTGGGTTTTACAAAACAAATCTCAGTAGTAGCACGAAGTCTGGAATTGTGCCCAGTATATGGCAATAGGCTCACCCCCTATAACATCGGAACTTATAACATATATAGGTAGTGGAAATAGGGTGTTACATTGTACAGTTACATTAAGTGCCGTAATGTGCACCTCTGCCTACCCCTTCGAGGATAAAAGGTTTTTGTATTGTTACTTTTTTTATTTTATTTATTTAGTACAATACAAAAAAAATTGATTCCTCATCCAAAATATTTTGGTCGACTTGCCTTAAATGTTGATTACTGTTCCTTTAAGAAAAAGTAAAAAAATGTGAACTCCCACCTCATTCCCCTGGCTAAGGTCCCTCCCACCCCGAAAGAGTCAACAACAGTCATCTCGGAAATGTAGAGACACGGTTCTAAATAGCAAGTTGCTTGATTCCTTGGTTCCTAGCTATTAGCAACCAAGAAATCAAAGAAATATAAGTACCTACCTATTTCTTTCCTGTTTTGACAATTTATTTGTATATATATATATAATACGTATTGAAATTATCACAAAATCCAAAGAAAATGGGTATAAAGCTTGTAATGTAAGTAGCTCGTGTACGTACCTTTTCTAGCTTTAACTTTATGGTATCCTGATACTTTCTCATGGGAACTTGAACTAAAATTAATGTCATTCGAGAATGTTTGCTAAAGGTTTGGGTTTATTTACTAATTTATAGTACCTACTCTTGCTACCTCCTGCAAAATAAACACCCATTTAGTCACTTACTAATACAGTTCGTACACAGGGGCGTAGCTAGCGCCGTATCTGCCGTATTAATTATACGGGGCCCCCAGACTACAGGGGCCCCCAATGTGCCTAATGAAAAATTAATAAAACTTCCCAATTTTTATTCTATTTCAGTAATCACAGAAGTAAAAAAAAACGATTTTTAACCGCGTAAAGCATGCGTTCAAAGGTTGGCAGAAACTTAAACTGTCAAACACCGCGAGGACACCGGTGACCGCAAATTAGTGTTCTTTATATTGTGTCTCTAATGACGGTACTCAAAGAAAAATAAAAGTACATAGTTAAGGTCCGATTAGGGCAGAGGGAGTTGCCTGGAAAGATTTTTGGTTTTCACACAAATTATAATATGTAAAAGTCTCTTGTGAGAAATGTTTACCCTTCAAGGGCCCCTAAACAAATTTTTATATTTTTATACGCTACGCCACTGTTCGTACAGTAGGTACGTAGGTACAATTATAAAGCCCTAGTACTTCGGAATAAATATGATGTAGGTATTGTTGATGCTTGCTGTATTATTTAGTAGGTACTTAGTAGTAAGTAGTAGATTTAAAGTAATTTTTTACTTCATTATTTTTCGGCGTCTAAGCAAAATACTTTCAAATAAGAATGGGTGTTTTAAAATTCTATCAAAAAAATTTAGTTCACACTAACACAGGTAGATGGGTCATAGTGCATTACCCAGCCACCTACGGTCATCAACTAGCGACTCAGTGATTCGAGTGGTTGGACGACTCGTGCAATTGTTTCGCTAAACGAAACGAAAATTTACAACTGCTTTTTACTCTGTTTTGAAATTGAACGACGATTGAACATTTGAACGAAATAATTATCATATGACATTTGACATTTCTTTCATTTTCAATTTCATTGTACTGCGTTGGACTACTGTCAAACAATTGTCACAAATTAAAGAAATCAATAGAAGGCAAAATAATAGCGAGTCGCGAGTTCAATAACAAAGTAAAATAACGAACTAGCTTTATTATAAAACGTGTTAAATATTTTTATCATTTAGTTACAAATAAACGCGTTTATTGTACTCAAATAAAACAAGTTTTTGCGATTCGCGTTTACTTTAAGGCGTCGGAATGGCGCCTCATAGGCAACCTAGTAGTCTTTTTCAGATGTGTATTGAAAGTTCTATTAGTCTTATAAATGTAGCTTGTCAGTCTATTGAAAAACAATATCCTGAACCTAAATTTCGCCATTGCGAACAAGAGGTGTATGAGTTAAAATGCCAATTAATGACGCTGCTTCCAGCCAGGTACCTAAATCCTTTGTTTATGTTTTTACTATCTTTATTTCAGTATATTTTTGTTACTAATTAACTTAATCTAGTATGAAATTAAGTTTTCTTATTAGATTGTGAACAGTTACAATTGCTGTTATCTTTGAAATATCTGTTTTGTAATGTTTAATGAGTATGTAATAGAAAATATGTTTTTGATGTCATAGTCATGAGTATGTTCTATTTTTTTCTTTTAACTCAGTAGAAATCTAGAAACTTATTAGCCTTATAAATATACCTTATCTATATTATTGTATCTTAACCCTAACTGCCTTGTTTATAAAATCTGTCTCCTCAGTTTAAATTCTAAATTTCAGGATTGGCATGATTCCATAAAATTGTCCATGACTCTGTGTGTAAAATAATATCATTGTGCAATTCTTCAATCTCCTTGGGATTCAAATGATATCATATTCAATAAAATGAACCCGCATACAATGCCAAGCCTCATTTTTAAGGTACATTGTGTATTTGTGAGTGAATAATGCCCACTTTTGTATGTGTGTGTCCTCTATTCACCTTGGTTGTTTTTTTTTTCTAGATGTATGAATGTGATTTGTTTTGCTTTTGATTTGAATATTTTGTGTAAAATAAATTATGTTTTCATGTTGTGTGTCCCTTAAGGTTTTTATCAAATTAGCACCCTGTTTTTGACAAACTTATGAAATATTTTATGCAAGTCAATTCCTGTAGCTGATCTGTTGTTAGTGGCTACTTGCACTATACATATGTAATGAGGAACCAAGTGTAAATAGCAATTAATAATTACTTCCTACATATTAAGATAGTGTTATTTACTATAAGAATTGAAATTAAATTTCAAATGACTTTAAAATGTCTTCCATGAATGACCATTTTCATTATCTACCAATGATATTATTACATTGATGTATCGGTACCGAAAATCCCCAGAAATTGTTCATACAAAAGAAGTCTCTAAACTTCGGAAATAAGGTCTATAATGGAGTTCGTGGAGAGCGGTCACTAGTGACCATTTGGGGATTGAACAGTTAAAAAATGTAGATAGGTTTCAAGCACTTAGAAAGTGGCACGTTAAAATATAGCTGTCACACTTTTTACCCACTTCAAAAAAAGGTGGAGGTACTATGTTCGGATTATTATAATTTTTTTGCACTATCAATATATTTATGTGTTCTTTATGTGCTCCTTTTGAACATCAATTGTTGTTTAGTTAACCTATCTACACTTTTTTACTTATAATAATTATAACTGTTATCTGCTATTTAAATAGTTGCTAAATAAGCAGAGTTGTGTAAAATACTGTTATCACAATTAAATACAAATACATACACAAATATGCACTGTGATAAAAATATTAAACATGATAAGACAAACGGGAGAGACAGATTTTAAACTAATTACTGTAAGTTATAATACCAGACTGCCAAGGTTAATTGCTTTGGTGCTCAGGAGACAATTTTAAATTTTAACCACTTGTTTTTCCATTTCCAGGTTATTTGATGTCCTCTGTTCAAAAAGAACATGCCGCCTGTATCGCGGTGATCCTCGCATTCAGCTACATGCACTGACGCACCCCAACCTGACATACTTCCGCAAATGCGAAACAGATAACGCTATATCTCAGTCTTTCTGGATCTCTACACTCTCCACCTTCAAGCGCTTAGTCGTTCTCGATCTCAGATTTATTTGCACTGACGAAATTCTCGAAGTCATTAGCCAGAATTGCCCCTTACTCGAAGATATTAACATTGTCTCTAAAGTCGACGTTTGCAAGTCCCTCTTCAATGCCTCTGTACTAATTAGGAATGTCTCCGATGCTGGTCTTTGTTTTGTCACTAATTTGAAACATTTAAGGATACTCTCAATGGACCCTCCGAGGAATGAACGAGCGAATCGTATAGGCCGGTGTGTGTCTCAAGCTGGTATCATCATGTGTATCAGCAAACTGCCGTACTTGGAGGAGCTACGGATTGAGTCCTGCGATATTGGGTCTACTTTAATTAGTAGTACTATAGACATAGGGCCGTTGAGTCTTCGCAAAATAAACTGCCACTTTGCTTCAGCTGACGGTATTAGGAAATTACTGAAAATATGTCCGTTTCTCAGAGAATTGTCAATAACGCATTTATCGGAATTTAGCAAAGATCTAATTTTAGAACAGATCTGTATGAGTGAAGCAAGGTTGTATAGGCTAGATCTTTCTTTCTTTTCCTACACGGAATCGATGCAGCAGCTTTTTTCGGTCAAAGGAAGCTACCTCACACACTTCTCCCTGTGGGAAATTGACCATTCTATGACTTTAGATGCAATCATATGTCTAGGAAGGTGTTGTCCTAACTTGAACACGCTCTGTTTGATGACTCAGTCAAATAGTTTGGTCATACCTAAATATTTTCAGCGGCCAGGAAAAATATTCTCAGAACTCAGGAATCTAACAATAGGTAATGACCATTTTTGTATGCATGACATTTTGACATTTTTCTTAGAGTGTACATATAACATGCAAAAGTTAGTTTTGAAGTATCAAAGACAGACTAGGATAGATGAAACATTATTGCATTTATTAGAGAAAGGACATTTGAGAAACTTAAATTCTTTGTGGTTGGATTGCACATTCGTGGTATCGAAGAATGTGGTAAAAAAGATAATCCAAATGTGTGATAAGCTTCAAGTGTTCACAGTTGACATTGTAGTGGAAATGATGGAAATAATTCAATATATTAAAGACAACAATTTGGATTTGAGATTTGGTACATATTAGCAATGTATTTATTGTAATTTATTTAAATTAATAATTATTATTAATAAATGTATTTTTGCAATTACAATAGACTTCATTTTTTTTCTACAGAATATAGCCCCTGCCCTGAAATAGGAGCTTCCATAAAAATTAAGAAGTAAAACACAAAATTATGATTTAAAATGATAATAACTTTATTAGGCATAATTTGTACAATATTTACAACTTATTAAACAATGCCAAAACAATTGATAAACCAAAGTTACTAACTTAAGCGTCATAGTAACTTTTCACATGCCATCTGGACATTCCGATCTGACTTAACTTTTTAAAAAGAAATTATCATAATTTCTGTTCTATATGTTATAACTAAATCATTTGCACAATATGTAATGATATTAAAAGAAAATTAAAAGATTTTTTAAAGTAGTCGATTAAAAACATTATTTGAATAAGGCAACACCATCATACTAACCACCATACTCCTTAATAAAAAAATAGGAATGATCTCATTAAATATTAAAATTGATTTTATGTTTACGAAACACAATTTTAACCTACATTGTAGGGATCCAAAAAATGTAACTTAGCAAATTAATTAACATCTTAGGTCAAAATAAGTAAACATTGTTCACCTGTATGTACGTACGTAATACACAATAACGCCAGTTAATCTGCGAAGGGAGATGTGAAAATACTAATTATAAATCCCATGTAGCGCACAATTTCAAAAACATCTAAGGGCAGATGATCTTGTTACTAATCGAGTTATTTTGAATCTTATAGAGATAAGTTTAGAGTTCATGCTACCTTTATTTCGATACCCGATGCCGCGACGCGCTATGGCATATGGCATGCAGTTTCATTCCACTGTTGCCGCAGCGGACCATTGTATCTGGCGAGATGTATGAGTACTAGGTACTTTGTCTCAAAGAATTATGATTGTTAAGGTAGTTGAAATAAGATTGTAACTTATACAACATTCATGGCAAGAGTGGCTACCAGGGGATACCATGGCAAGCCGCGGCACAATATGCCGTGCTATACAGTGAGGTGCTCCAGTTCTAACATCCCAAGAATATTATGTACGTATCTGTTCTTACTTTAGTTTATAGCCTGTAAAAATATTACTTTTGCAGGATCCAATTAAAATGTTCTCAGTTGAACAATACCTATTTACCTTGACGTTTATTCTTCTAAATACAGCTAATACTTAAATATGACGTCAAAAAATGCTTGTATATTTTACAATATTTTCTTTCATATCCCATACATGATACATTATTTAACACTCCATATGACTGCTGAAAGTTTCCGATTAATTCTCCAGGCATAATACTTTTTCTGTCTCGAAAATCTTCGAGACACCTCGACCAATAAGGTAGTAAAACCTCTTTAGGAAGATCACATTATGTAACCTGTTCATACAAAAGTAATCTCTAAATATTGTAAATAAGGTCTATAATGGAGGTGGGTGAGAGAGGACACCTGGTCTTTTGGCTGTTAAGAAGACATACTTTTTTAGAAATCTGATAGTTGGGAGTGTCAGGGCCAAGATGCGCTATTGACTGTACTGTGTAGATTTTGATATTTAACACTAAATTGCATAAATAATTTTTATAATGCATTTTTCTATCTACTTAATTATTATTATTGATGACAGTTCCATTAAACGTCAACATAATTTGAGCTATTTTCCCTCATTGAAACTGATTACGTTTTATTTATCAGATTATAATATCTAGTTGTTTTAAACTAAAATATTACTGTTCCTGTCTGAAATTAATTGGGTTAACAAGAAATTGTACAGGAATCCAAATAAAATCATCAACCCTTCACTTATAGTCTATACATACTAACTGTTATCATATAAATAAATTATTTCATTTGAGTAAGAAATAATCATTGTCAATTCCATAGTTCATGTCCAAAAAATCATCGAAATATTACAAAGAAAAACTGCAAGGGAAGGGTTAAAAACACCATAGACAACCAACTTAAAAAGAAACAGTCACTAACTGTCAGAATAATTGAACTAAATCACTTTGTCATTCATTCACTCTTTACACTTCACTCACAGAAACTTTTTTCTGTATCTTCTGTAACCCTTTTCTTGTCATATGGCCAGCGGGTCAGTCAGGCCATTTGTATGCTATGGATCCTTGTTTTCAACCACTGGTTCCTTATCATTGTCTTTCTCATCCTCATAGAACTCATTCTTAGCGTCTACCATCTTGTCAGCCTCCTCTTGACTGATCCTTACATCTGGATCAGGTTCATCCTTTATTCTGTACTCTTCGGGGAAGAAGTCTCCTGTAAATTTATAAAGAATATTAGATAAATGAAACTAACGGAAACTATTTCTTTATACTTCAAGTAGGTGTTTGGCACTACCTACAGATTTTTACTAAGAAATAACTGTAATTCAGTCAGAGTATTGAATAGTGAAGACTTTTTTTAAGGGGGGAAAATCATCGAATGACTTTTCCCGCCTGGACGAGGCGGGAGGGAGTGTCAGACTCTTACTGACTAAAAACCACCCCGTTCCTACTCCTGCACTTCGAGCCGGAGCCCCGGTAACCCGTTAGGTTCTCCGCGACTCCGAATCGGCTCTTTGAGGCGCGCGCGGAACGCGACGAGTCGTACGCTCGGGAATTGTGAAGACTAGAAGTGACTTTGATTAGAAAAATTATAAGATTACCATTAGGTCCAGATCAGTGAAAGTATAATTTACCTGGTACATGCGTCATTTGAACAGCAGGTGAGTGCTGGCACATCTTGAGGTTGTCATACACGTGTTTTGAGATCGCTTCCAAATACTGTTTGCTGTTTGCATTATTTGTGCTGAAATAGAATACAAAGGTATTGTGTAATGTAATTATAAGGTGTAATGTGGTATTTAAAGTAATAATCTTTAAAGGAAACACTTTGAGAATTTCTATAACCCTCATATAAAAATAGTAAATCGAGTTAAATACCACCATACATAGTATTAAAGTAACGACCACAGTGCAAGACGACAGTGCAAGTGTTAGTGAACCGCAATACAGCTGATCAACAGGACAAAAGCGAACTTCCTTTACTTTGGTACCTGCTCTGTGATTAGTGCAGCAATAATAAACATGCTCCGAAAAATACAACAAAGAAGCAATTGGAACGTGAGAAATAACTAACAACAAGTGATTAGTGACATAAAAAAACAATATATAAGTTTTTACGCGTTAAAACGGCTAATAAATATAAACAAAGAAAAATGTGACCTATGGGTGGACTACGTACATAATAATCGTAATACCCTACCACTAACTGTTATTTTATTCATATTTATAACACAAGCCACTATTTCACTTATATCGACTATGCTCGATTAGCTGCTGTACAAGTATGGTATCTTTCGGTGCAATGAGCCACGAGTTCGAAACCTGCGAAAAGCAATTTCTTTTTGTGGTATGTTTGTAACTTTGTATCGTCTCTGTTGGTTTTAAATACTCTAAAAAAATATCGTCTATTTGGACCACAGCAGTAAATAATTTAAATAAATTAGATAACAATATTGTACAACCCATTCAGTTACATAGTGGTGCCGACAGAGGGCGCTGGAGAATCAATACAAGCATGGATTCATTCGATAATGTAACTCATCGGAATCATCGCAAAACAGGATCTCTAGATAACTTGTCTGATATTATGACAAAGGACGATGAAGAAACACTATTTGATACCACAATGTTAAGTATACCCGATAGTCTAGACAATCAAAATAACAATGACAACTTAAGCGAATTAAAAGAACAAATAAAATTACTAAACATGCAACTAATGAGTGCTCATCAGGAAATAGAGAACTTGAATAATGAGAATTTCCGATTGAAATCTGATCTTCAAAAGACGATAAAGACTGTCGAAATTTGCAAAAAGATCTGTTTAACGCCCGATAGATCACCATCATCAGCTCGTAAAAAGAACCCATTGCATCAAAACTTGTTAAGCCCGATCATTCTAAATAAAGAGCGCAATATTAAAGATACTCCTCAGAGGAAAACTATAGTGCTTGATAAGGAAACGCAAACAGTAAATTTGACAGTGGATCAATTGACACAAACTGAACAAAATTTGACAACTACTCCACGAGAGGCTAATACCACCTGCGACAAAACATCGGACATTATGTATGTACCAAGACATAAAAACAGACTATCTATAATAAGCAGCAACTGCACAAGGGGAATGCTACCTCTAATTGAAAAAACATTTTCCAAATACTTTAATTACTGTCATCATCTGTTGCCAGAAGTTACGACATCAGATTTTCTCAACAGTCTTGAGTTTAAATTAAAAGATTTTACGATAAACGACTACTGCCTGTTATTCATCGGAGAAGGTGATCTGATTAATGGGGATTATTTGAAAATACTCGACAACTTTAAAAACTCAATGAAAAAAATCAACAATACAAACCTCATCATTTGCGCCCCAACCTATAAAACGGGTGCTCTTATCCACAATTATAAAGTGGAGTTATTCAATAGTCTACTTTGGTTGGACATAAGAAATAACCAATACGCGTATTTTTTCGACACCAATCGCACCCTATCTCTTGAAATGTTTTCGAGTACAGGGAAACTGAACAAGTATGGATGGCAGAATATTTTTGAACAAATCATGGCCAACATATTGATAGACTACAAACTATTCTGCAATCAAGATTTGGCAAATAACAGGATAGGACATCTACCATTATCGGACTACGTGCCGGAAAACAAATCAACAGCAACACATAACCAGTTATTTCTTCTATAACCACATGAACATTATGCACCAAAACATCGCGGGACTTCTTAATAAAATTGATATGTTGACGTTACACATCCAAGAGCTGCACGTGATGTCGAAATTGGATGTGGATGTACTGTGTATCACTGAACATTTCGTGACCTCAGGACAGGAATCACTAATTAAAGTACCAAATTATAAGCTTGCATCATGTTACTCACGCAATAAAAAACGTGGAGGAGCATGCATCCTTATTAAAAACATTCATGAGTATAAAGAACTACCTAACGCATCTATTATGGGAGTATTTGAATGCTGCGCAATAGAATTAAAACAACAGGGTTTAATAGTGGCTTGTATTTATAGACCACCGAATATGTCCTGTATTAATACATTTTTAAATCATCTAGACATTTTATTAAAGACATTGCTTACAAAGGTGAATAGAAAAATAGTATTATGTGGCGATTTTAATATAAACACCCTCAACAAAAACCGGATTACATTAGACTTTGAAAATTTACTGTTGAATTATAATCTAAAGCTAGTGCTCAATCAGCCAACTAGACCAAAAAGTGGCACTTGTATAGATAATTTTGCCCATAATGCTAAACAAAATTGCACTAGCGAAGTGGTCGACTTTGGCTTATCAGACCATACCGCGCAAATTTTAAAAATACCGGTAAATAAAACGTGTGTAATAAATGCCTGGCGAATCCAAAAGCGTAACATGTCGAAAGAAAATTTAAATTTATTTAGAAATCATGTACAATGTCTGTCTTTTTCAGAAGTGTTTAATTCAGATAATCCTGACGAGGCATATAATGAATTTATTGATATTTTTAGCTTATTGTATGATTTGTGTTTCCCAATTATGCTAATAAACATAAGTACTACAAAAAAAATTAAATGGCTATCACGCGGCATTAGACTCTGTAGCAGAAATAAACGTAAGATGCTATTAAAATATAGAAAGACACATACAAGTGAGGAAAAAAATAAACTACAAACCTATTCCCGTAAACTCAAAAAGATTATAAAACTGACCCAAAAAGCCCAAAACAATTATTTGATAAACAGCTCAAACAACAAATCAAAAGCATCATGGCAAATAATAAATAATCATAACAATCTGGCGAAGGATCCAATTTTGCAAATTAAAGACGGAAACCAAATAATAAAAGACACAGGGCAGATCGCTGAATCGTTTAATAACTTTTTTATAGATCAAATACACGCTATACCCGGAAGTTGTACAGGAAATTTGAATACGATAAATACAACGCAAAAGTCACTATTTATGCAGCCGGTGGTCCCACAAGATATCGTACGCGTGATAAAAAATTTAAAAAACAAAAAGAGTTGTGGAAGCGATGGAATTTCAACTGTTGTGGTGAAATATGTGGCAGATCATATAGCTAAACCATTAAGCCATATAATAAATGTTTGTATAAGTTCAGGCGTATTCCCTGAGAAATTGAAGACAGTGATAATAAAACCAATACATAAAAAGAATGACAAAGAAGATATGACAAATTACAGACCTGTAGCGCTAATTTCAGTATACTCTAAGATTTTCGAAAAAATTTTGTATGAGTCGATATACTCTTTCATCAATAAAAATGACATTTTATGTGAGGAACAAAAGGGTTTCCGTAAAAATAAAAATATCAATATGGCTATATTTGATCTCTTAAAAATAATCATGAACAATATGGATAAAAGAAATCCAATATGTGCAATATACACAGATATGACAAAGGCTTTCGATTATGTAAAACATGACATTCTCCTTAAAAAACTTAACGACTATGGCATAAGAGGAAATGTATTAAATTTAATCAAGTCATACCTCACGGGAAGAAAACAATACACAGAAATCTCGAAAATTTGTACAAAAACTAAGCTTGAACGGAAATATCTATCCAGTTGTAGAGTTGCTAAATTCGGAGTTCCACAGGGCAGTGTTCTTGGTCCGCTGCTATTTCTGCTATACATTAACGACCTGCCCCGTCAAATTTGTCAACCAATGACACTATTCGCTGACGATAGCACTGCTATAGTAGAATGTTCTGGTGATAAAGATTACAAAAATAAAATTAACAACACACTAGAAACCATAATAGAATGGCTCAATATGAACAATTTAGTCATAAATTTACAAAAAACCAAAGTCATGCATTTCTACCAAAGAGTACAACCAGGAAGTATAATTACTGAATACAAAAGTCAAAAAGTCGACACAACATCAGTGACCAAATTCTTAGGAGTGCATATCGACAACCAATTGACTTGGAAATATCATGCTGAAAATGTGTGCCAAAGACTTAGTAAATCCTCATATGTACTTTATAGCCTCTCAAATAAAGTTAATATAGATACATTAGTGATAGCCTACCATGGATTAGTTGCTTCTTTCTTAAGATACGGTGTCATATTCTGGGGTAATTGCAGCGATAAAGAAAGAATATTTCGAGCCCAAAAACGATGCCTCCGATCAATGACAGGTCTTACACAAACTGAAAGTTGTCAACCTTTGTTTCAATCCTTGAAAATTTTGACACTACCTTGTCTGTACATATTAGAAGTGGCTCTATTCGTGAAATTAAACAGATGCTTATTTACTTCAATGGCTGACACGAGACAACGTACAATACCAATAAGGACCCAGTATAGAAGCCAATTATGTACAGGTGGTCACAAAACAGCCTTGCTGAAAAATAGCATCTTTCACATGGGACCGCTGGTTTATAACAAACTTCCGGAAAACTTAAAAGATATACCTCTAAATAAATTTAAAAACCAATTAACATCATTGCTACTGACTAAGTGTTACTACACAATCAAAGAGTTTATAAACGACAGAACGCTATAGGAAAAATGTACGTTTTAATAATAATAAGTAGCAAAACTTTGGGGAAGCACTGTAATATGACTTGCTCAGATTGAAACTCTTATCTGTTGATTGCGTTAGTGACCTTTATGGCATTACATTATGACTTCAATTAAGATACTTCGTTAGTTTGATATCTGCAATCGTAGACATAACTTAATTTATTGTTAATTGTAACATTTGACATTTCTTGACATAAACTTTGTAACATTATATTTTAGACTAAGTACCCACGTTGACATTGCATCATATTTTATTATTTCTTTTTGTATGGCTTATATTTGATCGTAGCATTTTGGCATTATTTTTTTTTCAATTATTCTAAAATTTTGACTATATAGGTACCTAGTTATTTATTTGACGACATTCAAATCGCATTATAATTTAATTTGCATGCCGAAAGGTAAAATGTACTGGGTCAATTAACTTTATTCCAACTTATATGTATACCTACATTATTAGCAAATAAATGATTTCTTTCTTTCTTTCTTTCTTTCTTTCTTTCATCCGAGGGCTTAGTACGAGTTTCATTTTCGAGTACGCGTTCGGCGTTGTGATTGACAAACTCGTACTAAGGCCTCTGTACACTTTGATATTTATAAAGTCGACATGTCCGAATCGGGAATATCAACCGTGACAGTTGTTGGCACAGGCCTGCCACATATTCCCATACACTGCAACTCCTGTAAGCTAGAATTTACAGCACAGACCAACCACAAAAACACCGAAACAAAAGTCCAGCGCATCCCAATGCCCCGTGAACAACTCTTGGATCCCGCAACGAAATCAATCAGAAGATTTGAGCTGAACAAAATGTTGACCTAAGATATCCTAATTAATAAAATATTTAAATTAATTGTTATATTTTGCGATTACTGATGCTTACCTATTGATTTCTGGATGCAATTGGAAGTCCGGCGCGAAAAATTCTAAATACTCCGTGTAAGGCAACTCATTTGATATATTCTCATCGACTAGAAGTGAGGTTTCATATGTCCAGCACCGCGCCACGTTCCTTAGTGTGTAACTGAAATGTAAGAATAAGTATTATATAATTAAATTAATTTATTAACGATAATTCCTGACTATGATCGGCAGTCACACTTGTATTCTCATCTTTTAGAAAAGAGAATATCTGAATGTTAGTAACAAAACATTAATAATACTAATACATAATTTCTTTATTATTTTATGATTATTTCAAATAACCAATAACTATAATAAGATAAGGGTATTATATAGATATACTAGATACTCTTCATAGGAAGAGTAAAACTATAATTTTATCCACACTAATGTCCAAATACTTAAACACCACTCAATTTTAAAACACGCTAAGTACATATAGACGACCCCTTTTCCCAACTGCTGATTACTGGCTCCATCCAAAGGTTGTCTGTAAGAAATCGCATTCTGCGATAAGACCGCCCATTGTACACATTCTTTTTATGTTTATTTTTCTTTGTATGTTTTTATGGTGTACAATAAAGTGTAAATAAATAAATATAGTTCAGTCACTACAAATTCTTTATAAAATAACGAGATTTTTTTAAATGGGGAAAAGTCATCGAATCACCTCTCCCGCCTGGGTGAGGCGGGAGGGAGTGTCAGACTCTTACTGACTAAAAACCACCCCGTTCCTTCTCCTGCGCTGCGGTTCGAGCCGGAGCCCCGGTAACCCGTTAGGTTCTCCGCGACAAAATAACAGAGATAGCACGACATTTTAGTATAACTTAAAAATTGAGTAGCCTTCAGTACTCGGGCGTAATTGTAAAGTTTGATTTAAGTCCTAAAAAGTGATTCAATTTAACAATGACTTACCCTCCCCCTCCCACTACTAAAGTGGGCACATTTAAGTTCTTGACAAACTTGACACATTCTCCGTGCCCCCGCGTGGATAGCGAGAAACACCCAAGCCTGTCACCCGCTAGTGAGTCGGCACCGCATTGTAACACTATCGCTGTTGGACGGTAGAACTCCATCACGTTGGATATTACTGGTTTGAACACCTGGAAATTTTGATTTTAAAATTAACTATTTTATGATTGTTACTAGCTGCTCTCGCGCGGTTTTTAGCCTCTGCTCTGCTCCTATTGGTCATAAGCCCGATGTTGTATAGCTCATAGTCTTTCTCGATAAATATACTACCCGACACAAATAGGATTATTCAAATCGGAATGTTCTTTAGTATTATATAAAGGTGTAAGGTAAGTAAATTAAGTATGGATTTATTATGTCAGTAGGGCCACAGTTGTGCAAAGTATCAAAGGTCTGCATTATGTCTGCTATTAACATAATTTGTATGTCATTATATTCTAATGAATGAATGTGTTAAACTGCATTAACAGTAAAAAAATCGTTATTCCTTATTAAATCTCTTTACGGAGAAAAACTACAAGAAATTAAATACATAGTTGTTTTGTAAATGTCAAATCAAGTTTGTAACACTTTGATTCTAGACATAGAAGGGAATTGGGTACTTTCCTTAATCAAAAATACATTATTTCAACTGTTGAATATAATAAAAATCTTAAAGAATATCACACTTTAATTATTAGATTTTATGACCAACTTAATTTTAGTATTTTTCCAGCAAATATAAGTATGATGTTTGACGCTAAAAAACGTGACGTCTCTATACACAATCTCGTACAAAATTCATAGAAATCTGTCGTTTTTGACAGTTCGAAAAAAGTATTGAATTTGACTAGTTGGCAAATACCCAATTAAATCTAGATCACCCTAGGCAAGCACCTCATGGATGTCTCTAATTTTTTTGACGCCGACTTCACTCTGTGGACATTTGGGTATGGGTGTCTCACAGTGCCCATTTGCAACTTGGCGCCCTAGGCACCTAGTTTGCCTTAAAGATAATACGGCTCTGGACACAGTACCTAGTCCAGAATCTGGATATGTTGTCGAACAAGTTAGTCCAGTGACTTTTTTAAAAATCTACATTAACAAGAATAAAATCATACCTAACAAAAAATAGCATTCAAATTAAAAAAATACACAAACCTGAACATAACTCTGATCATCAATCCCTTCCTTTAGTGGCACATTAACAGAATAGTACCTTCCACTTTCAGCTCCAATTTCATACATATCCCCAGTTCCAGGGAAGAAGTAGTTCCCGTACTTATGGAAACTGACTGTCATCACTCTGTCAGTTAGGTAGAAGGCTTCTTGAACACCATCACCATGGTGGACGTCAATGTCTATGTATAACACCCTCGGGTGATATTTCAGTAACTCTAGTATCGCTATTACTATGTCATTTACGTAGCAGAAACCTGTAAAATAAAGATGATAATAATATAAAATTCAAATCATCAGCTTTCTGTAAGAAACAGAGATTGACTAATGCCCGAATAAGTACTGAAAGGTTAATTAATTTTAAGTTTACATTTGACAAAGAATTTATAGTGACAGAACTACCTCTATACTTAAGCCCGGCTTAAACTTCAGTCGCCTTTCAGTATTCTGGTATGGCAGACATGCTTATCACTACATAGTATAAAACAATGTCGCTATCTGCCGCCTGTCTGTCCCTATGTATGCTTAGATCGTAAAAACTACGCAACGGATTTTGATGCTGTTTATTTTAATAGATAGGAGTGATTCTTAAGGAACGCTACGCATGTATAATACATGCAATTGAACTCGTGCGAAGCCAGACCGGGTCACTAGTTGTTCCTAGCATGTTAAATAAAACCCTTTATTATTTTACCCTCAACCACTTTTCTTATTAGAATCTTCTTTAGATGCAATTCAATTTCCGAATAGGACTCTAAGTTTCCTTACAGAACAATAAATAAAAATATTATTCATAATAATTACAATGTCTTAGGTCTATCTTAATTTATAGACCTAGGATAATAATAATAGGTTCTTTTTGCATCTGGAAATACTTACCAGAAGGCTCAAACTTCTTAGCATGATGCAGACCTCCAGACCAGTTGATGGCAATGTCACAGGCATTATTGTTGAGCTTCATGGCACCCTCTAGTGAAGCCCCCGTGTACATTGAGCAGAAATCAAACAGTCCTTCAAACACAGGACAATCATCACCCACATTGTAATGCAGTAAGTCTTTGGAATAACCTGGAATTAAAAACAAAAGTAAATATCGATGTTTAAAATCATTAGATGTTAATCTTGTAATCGGTAATAAACATGTCCTCATGTAAATTAAAAGGAATAGTCCTCCTCAGTGGCATTCAAATAGCAATTTCGATATACCTACCTAATTATTATAAAAACGACAAACAGATTAATCCATTATAACATTAGAATACCTGTTAACTTACATATTATAAATACTAGGTGGAAAATGGGCATGTAAATGTAAAAAAATGAAATGTAAATGTATGAAAATGGGCATGTAAATGTAAAATGTACCCATACATATATGCATGTCTACAAAACCTGACAGGAAAGACATACAATGTAATATTATGCGTCTTACTCACTTTGTATATTCTGTGGGGTCACATTTTGCAAGAACTCAATATAATCCTCGCTGTGGAAGCGACACATGTCATGGGCGCTCGCTCTATACGGCTTGTATATCTGCATCTTTTTATGCAAGCCATAATTCAGCACCAAACTATGAGTCACCGACAACCGATGCGGTTTCATAGGGTGCCCTGGTCCATAGTGGAAGTTCCCCACGTCCGCGTTGTAAAAATATGCTACTTTATGTTGGGTCATAGTGGATAAACAAATACGTATTCCTTCAAAACCAAAATAATGCCGAGAACGACAGCAATCACTAACAAGCGTTTGGTTAGCTCGATGTCACCGAGAAGCATCTTATCCAGTTTAAGGCATTTTGATTATGTAATTACACATTTATATGTTGGAAATACAAACAATAAGCGGATAAAACTTAAATAATGACACTATCTCTACGCGAATAAAATAAAACAATAAATACGAAGAAAATAATAGCTTCCTTTTGCTTCTATGCCTAATGCCAACTTGACAATGACAATTGTAAATTGACTGACGTTTAATGATTTTGACAGGCAGGCAGTTTTCTATTTATCTATGCTTCAATATAAAAAGAGTTTTTTTATGGAATGAGCAGACGGATCACCTGGGTGCTTACTCTTGAAACCAATCTCAATGTCAATGCAATTTCAATCCAATAAAATCTCAATAATTATCCAATGTCAAAACTATACAACCCCAATCGCAGCTGTTAAAGTAGAATTTTGAATACGGAATATAAAGCCAAACTCAATACCATTTAGTTCATTAAATATCCACGCAATACGAATGAAATGGGCGCTAGTGTTGCAACTCAAGAGTACGAAATTTCACAATACCAATGTCGATCGATCGGAATTGGATTCAAGAGTAAGCCACCTGGTAAGCGATAAGCGCCACCCATGGACACCCGCAACACTAGAAGAGCCACAGGTGCGTTGCCAGCCTTTTAAAACCATCTTTAAAATGGGGATGCATATGGTATCGCGAGGGTCGATGGCGAAAAGATGCGGCAGATATCAGGTCAAACAATTCCTCAGAGCACTCCCCGTGGTACACAACTAAGCTACATCTCTACGTATAGCCAAAGTCCATAGAAACATCCCGACTCCCAACAATCCGAACGGCATGCCGCTGAATGCGGTCCAGAGGAAGAAGCTGGTACTAGGGTGCCCCCGCCCAAAGATGAGAACAGTATTCCATGTAGGACCGAACCTGCGCCAGAAGCCGGCTGACTGGTCGAAGTACTGCCTCGACCTAGTGAGCACACCAAACTTCCTCGTGGCTAATTTGGCCTTATCCTCTGGATGACCGCGAAACTGAACGTCGCTCGAAATGCTGATACCAAGCATTCCAATACCGGCGGCTGAAGCAGTTAGGGGGTGCTTTAAAAGTGAGGAGACACGACCAACTGCAGTTAGTGCAGTTTCTTAGCGGTTAACACGCAGACCTGTGTCTTAGTGGGGTTAAACAGTTTAGAGTAAAAGAGTTCAAGGATCTTGTCTTGTGCAAAATAAAAATATTTATGCTTGTCATTTTGAATTTTTGAATCTTGTTTTCTAGTGCCATTCAAAAATGTTGTTGAACTAAAAGTAAAGTTTATGTACTTTGTTAATTGTAATTTGTAGGCGTAGGTTGCAGAATGCAGTGAGGTTATGGAAAATATGATGTCATAAACTAAAAACCTAGATAACATCAATTGTTGCATACGTTGTATTAAACATTGATCGCGTTTTTCATCCAACTATTATCAGTAGATAATAAAATAATATAGAGTGATATAAAATAATATAGACAGGATTTTTGTCTGTCACAGTCTGACCAACGAAAGTCGTCAAGAAATATGGCGCCAATTTAAAAAATCTGGTACTAAACCCTTTCTCACTGGTGTTTAACAGGGTTTTAATTTTTACAAAGAGCTTATTATTTCTTAATACGTGCATTTTGAAATATCGACTCCGTTTTAGCGGTGTATAGCCATGTTTGACAGCTCTTGATTTTTTAAAACTCGCGCTATTTTTTTGGACAGTTTTCATTGGCCAGAGTTGCCGGCTCGGCTGATCACGTTAGTGAGATACTGTGATTAGTGTGGTCTGTGATAGGCATTTTCGTTTTTCGACTCGAAGTTTACTTTTTTGTGTACTGTACACTTTTATTGTTTTTTATTTACAAAAGCGCTTAGGTAAGATATTTAACTAGCATATATTTAATAACTTGTTTAATAACTGTATGTTTTATCTGAATAGAATTGCACGTTATGTTTGCACAAAATGATAGCATGCTACCGGTGTGGGTACAAAGATACGTTTATTGAGTTGAGTTAGTTTTATTTATTCCGTTACGTAAGACGTGGCATCAGTTAAATAATGGTCAGTTAGTCAGTCGTTAATTGAACTGGATTCCATGAAAATAATTCTAAATTGAAAGTATTATCGTCTTCAATTAGTTCGGTCAATAAGTCCACTAACTACTTGCTCTATTGTGAAAGAGAATTCTATTGTGATTGTTTACTGACACACTTGCATTAATAATACAATTTTTATATTAGGTACTGCTGCCAAAGGGTATCAAGTCATTTGGTTTGGTTTAAGTATTTCAAAAATCATTCATTTCTTGTTTGTTCAGGTTACAATAAATTATTTTAAAAACTGCACACTTGATTTGGCTGTCAACATTTAATGATATTAGAAGTGTCTGGAAGCTCAATCTACTTGCCACAATGAAATATGATGAATACTTACTTACTATTATGAATACTTAATTCCAATAAGAAATAGGTATTTGAAAATTTACAAAAAGTATGTCCAATAAAAGTAGGTACTTGGTACTTTTAGACATACAATAAGTCTTATTGAATAATTTTTCAATTCTAATAAGAGAACATTTTGGTGAAAGGATGCCAGGAATTTTACTTTGCAGTACCTACCTAATGTCTGTATTGAATCATCATCAGTGAAAATAAATAAAATAAATATATGTTTATAAATTTATCAATATTTTATAAAACATTTAAACTGAAATCATTTTATTGCTCATTCAGAATTTTACTCGTAACATCTCAAAAGTTACCCTCTCCACAAAATAAGATAAAATGTCCTACCAATCTGCAGCTAGAACGATATTTTTTTTTTTTACTATAAGCTGTACTGGTTAATGTCCACAGTCACCACTCACATTCATGTAAAAACGAAATATTTTAAAAACAAATAGTGCAATTTATAAAATAAAATACCTCATCGATGAGTAATTGGTACAAGTATAACTAATATGGGAATAACAGTTAAAGTCATAACAAATATTACTTAGTTTGATATAACTAATATTGTATGGATTAATGTTATTCTAATATTATTATTAGTGGAGTGAATGATGAGAGTGGCTCCGGCGTGTTATATTGAGTGTCAACTTGACAATGATGTTTATTCTGTAAAGGATGCAAGCTGACTCTCACACCTTAAGCAGTAATTGCCGTGTGTTTGTCAACTTATACCGGTATAGTTGTGAACAAAAGTGATTTATTAAGTTTAGATAAAATTAAGTTGGAGTTTCTTGCTCGTTCTTCTCCATTCTAATCTACATTTTGGAATGAGCACCTAGCTTCACTGATGGATAGACTGACAGACTATTATTTATGTTGTATTTGTTGATGTTTCAATAGTACAAATTATGGTTTAATTGAAATGAATACTTTGACTTTGAAGAGAGATATGAATGATCCTACTCCATGTGAGAAGAGGCTATGGTCAGCAGTGGCCACTTACAGGCCGTTGATGTTGTTGATGAAGAGATATGTCAAAGACTACAGTTTATGAATATTACAGCCTATCAGCCCATAGAATAAAATAAAACTAATATCTTAAATTTAAAGAAAAATATTTCAGGCAGCCAAATCAATGGTTTAGCAAATTAGTACCTATGTTTAGTTAAAAAAGAACTTGATATTCTATATCACCATTGACATTCAAAACAAATTTAACTTAAAGATAGTTAACTATTTAAAGAAAACTATATCCAACAGCTTTCTTTACAAAAACGACATTTCACCATTTGTACCTATTCATACATGTACCCCACCATATTCTTATTGAAACTTGCCATCAGAGTAACTCTTTATATAACTGGCACACGACGAAGGCCAGTCACTCGCCGCAAGCAGCGAAAGGAGGTGGACATACGTTGAATTAAATAAAAAAAAAACGCTGTGTTTGTCTTTGTCCTGATTGAAAATGGCGCGAATATTGAGGTGTGAAATTCTTTTGTTAATAGCAATCAGCCATATGAACAATTTTAGGGTGTTAGCGAGAACCATGTCAACAATTGCGAAGAGTTTTGAGTCCCACATGGTGGTGCCTGATGTCGTGTCCAAAGCACCTGAAGCTATAGTGTCCGTAAGTATGTTTTTTATTATCTATCGAACACATATAAATAAGTTTAATTTTAATGGTGCGATAACAGTTAATAGTCGATGTTATTCAACAATTGCCGATCGTGTTATCGGATTGTATGTATATGCATTTAAGAAAGTTTTTGTTTACCTACATCTCACGGTGGATTTAACCTAGATTTTGATTTAAGTTATTCCGTTACATTATATCAGGATTAAAACACGAATAATTATGTTATTTCAAAAGCATTCTAGCTTTAATCAATTTGCTACAGCATTTATCTCATTTAGTCGAATCCGGTGAACCACTGTAATGTTGTGCGGTATTGTATGTATGTAATAATATCTTAATTATGATAAGAACTTCACTCATCCCCAAAATTGGACACTCCGAAAAGTCCCTATACATCAAAAATTAAAGGGCACTTGATTTTTAGATAGTGGTTTCATTAACAGCCCATAAAAGTATTACTGCTGGATTTTATTAAGCCCCTTCTACTCAAGAGGGTTTACCGTTATATCCATACCTACTCAGCAAACGACTTGGAAATCGCACAAATCACCACAATTGCCTACATTGACAAAACAAATTATATTAGAGCACTACTTCATTATTGCTGCCAAATGTGTAGTGATTCCTAGTGGTAGTTCATTTTATACATAAGTAGGTATAAGACGAACTAAAAAGGTAAAAGTATAGTACCTTATACCTTAACTCGTCGAGTACCGGTTTTGTAGACACAATTATAGAACAATAGGTTGCGGTCACCGGTGACCGCTTGGTGTTTGACAGTTTAACTCATCGAGTACCGGTTTTGTAGACACAACTATAGAACAATAGGTTGCGGTCACCGGTGACCGCTTGGTGTTTGACAGTTTAAAGTACTTTTATAAAAACAAGTTTTTACCCAAGGCTTACAGAAGCTGACAAAAATCTTCCATAATGGCGCGAAACAAGGCGGTACTTGCTTAAAAAAATGTCCCAAATTACGTAGAACAGTCACCAGGTTTTGCGCCAAAACTACAATTAAACACACTAATACCACATTAGTAATAGTAGGGACGTATGTTAAATTACTATATTGTCATGCCTTTGTCTATGATTTCCATTAATAATAATGTGAAGGTAGCAATTCTGCTGCAATAAGGACGTACCTATGTAAGATTATATGCGTATACAACCGGTAATACTATGTCCGGATCATGTAATACTCACTTTATTTCGTTCTCAACCGTACTTAATTGAATTAGATTTTGTTTTTTAAACGTTGCCCCATACTAGGATTTTCTCCTGTATCGCAGGTACGTTTAAAAACATACAAAATCGCATACACATGCCACTCAGACCCAGAACAACAATGTGTGGATCACACAAAGAGTTGCACGATAGCCGGTTGCCCAGCCACCGCAATAACCGTGCCTTCCAGCACGTCCAAGTCCGTGCTGTTTAGTCATCGCATATTCGGTCCATGTAAAATATCTACTGGCGAATCTACATAATATATGGTGCCACCCTAACTATCAATAGAACTTGGTACGATATGAACCGAGGGCTTAGCATGCTAACTAAGTTTGTTTTACATTTAGCCCTCTGGATATTTACTCTTTCGATTTGACATTATTTTCTCCTCCAAGGGCCGGCAACACATACATAAATATAAGTTTACTGATCTTTTATTATCCGGATCACGGAGGCACATTAGTGCATGATCGCTTGGCTCTGATCTTAATTATTATTAATAGTTTTAGTTCCAAAACTTATGTCCTACAAATTTCCCCGTAATGTCACTTAACTCGTCGAGTACCGGTTTTATAGACACAATTATAGAACAATAGGTTGCGGTCACCGGTGACCGCTTGGTGTTTGACAGTTTAAGAAAGTTCTGACAATAATAGATCACTTATACAACACATGCTAAACTTCATTTAAAAGTTAGCGTATGCTTACTTATGGGCAAAAATAATTTTCTGTTTTACATAGGTACCTAAGAACAGCCTTCAAAATTTATCTTTCCTTTTGATATTTTAAATAACTTTTGTTAAGGTAACTTTAGTCTGCCCTTGTACACTCTGACGGGTCCCAACAAACTGCAGATTTATTTTTAAACATACCAGTCCTGGATTAACTAGATATTGACACATAGTGGTTTCTAGTATTATCCGCAACGTAACCTGTTTAGGCTTCACCAAATTGAGAACCGGAAAATAGAAGCTAATTCAATTTATACAGATATGATACAGTTAGGAAACAGGATGCTTATTGAATATTCTTCAGAGAAAACCGACGTGAAACAACTCTTGCGTTGTGTTTCGTCGTGTAAGTGAGGTTACCGGAGGCCCAATTCCAGTTTCCTCGAAACATTTACCGTCTCACAGCGCGTTTACCGTCATATTCCACAAAAAAAACAGGTCTTATTTTTTGTGATCTTAGTTAAAATTCACCTGGGACCTCTTTAGCCCCTCAAATATTTCGGAATACAGACGTATTGAGAATGTTATAGATTATAGATTATTTGCGGACATCTGGCAAAAATCTTTACAAGGGTATAAAACTTCAAATCTCTACAAATAATTTCTTTAGCAATTCAGGTTTAATAATCGTATGAAACGTTGCACATTGTATAGGTATAACATCGAGGCATAGATAATAATAGAGAGGTATTTTATCCTAACAACCTTGTTAATGAAGATAATAAATAGCATTGCATTAGATTGTAATAAGCCTTCATTATCTCATTTTAACTCCGTGATAAACTGGACATGTCACTTATAATGGCAAATTGACTATCCACCAATAGTACCTACATGGAAAAAAACCTCGTTACTACCAACTTGACCTGGATATGATATAGTCGGGTAATCTATATAGACAATTCTATAGGTATTAACTTAATCAACTTTTATGCCAGAGTATTTCAATTTCCAATTAGTTTATTACTTTTGTAATTCTTTAACTGGCAATTGACAACCAATTCAACCATCGTTGAAGGCTAGTCCTCCAGTTTTTAGGGGGAACATCATCCAAACGCTTCTCCCGCCTTGGATTAGGCGAGAGGGAGTGTGTGACTCTTACTGACTAAAAACCACCCTGTTCCTACTCCTGTTCTTCGAGCCGGAGCCCCGGTAACCCGTTTGGCCTTTCGCGACTACGTATCGGGCATCAGCATTTGTCACAGAATTTTGTTTAAAAATGAAGTACCGTAAAGTTTGCCGTTTGTGCATAGGGTCATATCATAATCTCAATATCTGTCACACATAAATGTGGTCGTGATAAAGCCATGCAGGTTTATCTGATATAGGTAGGCATTACTTACATAATGTATAATCTCTGAAACTTCAATATTTTATTGAGATTACTCTACGTAACTAGTATTTACCTCTAGTGTACCAATAACTTTATGACGATAAATAAATCAGTAATTAACAGAAATTATTAGGAAAAATTTACACTAAGTGCCGTAATGAGCAGAGGTGCACTACCTACTCCTTCGAGTATAAAAGGCGTGATGTTATTAGGTAAAATTAATATATTCAGTAAAAGACTGACTGCCTCGTTGGCTGAGTAGTCGCAAGTGCGACTGCCGGGCAAGGGGTCTCGGGTTCGATTGGGTCGGACAAAGTATTACCTACTGGGTTTTTAAAAATTTCTCAGTAGTAGCACGGAGTCTGGAATTGTGCCCGGTATATGGCAATAGGCTCACCCCCTATTACATGGGACTCATAACATAAATAGTGAAAAGTGGGTGTTACATACACTGTCCAATGACAGTGGCATGATGTGCACCTACCCCTTCGGGGATAAAAGGCGTGATGTTATATTAATGTATGTCAGTAAAAGAATCTTAGGGTAAAGGGTCTTGAGGTAGTTTAAAAATTAATCATGGCAATTTCAGTTCTGATTTCTAGTTTGCGACAGACAAATGACAGTCTCAAAATAATGTTAAATAAAATACACCTTGGCATGGTTGACGAAAACATATCATAATGTGCATGTATGGACAAAACATTCCGGTTCTCAGCAAAAATAATTATAATGTTTACAATAATAAGAGCTGTCTGAAATTAATTCATAAACAACTGTTTTATCAAACTGAAGAAACTGATCTGTATTGCTTTTAGTAATTTTTGCTGTCTAAATCTAGACGTAATTTTCAAAACTTCACCAATACAGAACTACTTTATACCTACTTTCGTATATTTTATTCCATCATCCTTATGCACGCTATAGGTACAGTTCGACTGTACAGATAACCTGCACAGTTAAATTGTAAGGTAGCGTGCATTACAGTATCAGAAATAAAATCGTTATTTTTATGTAAACAAAACGAGTTCAAAAAATCTGCTCATTTATGTACTGAGAACTTTCTAGTCTAAAGGATAGGTAAACAAGCATAGGTCCTCTATAAAAAAATTTGTAATCAGTTTTTAGTTTTTATAATCTCCTTACCAATTTGCAACAGGTGAAGTACCCAAGCGGTGTGGAAGTGAACGAAGGCAACGTGCTGACTCCCACCCTGGTGAAGGACATTCCCACGGTCTCATGGGAGGCTTCATCTGACCAGTTCTACACACTCGCCATGACCGGTTAGTACTATTACCTAATTATGTATTTAATTAACTGCGACAAGTTTTTGGTAAAGTGAGCGCGCTATGGGTATTTTGCCGCCAACGTGTTATCAACTTAAAATAGTGCCTGACCGTCTTGCACTTTTTAATAGTTGCCGCTAGTCTCGGTAGCAATTCATGCCGAAAGATTTGATGCTGTAAGTACGCTAGGCCTGTTGTAAAAATGTTTGGTACCACCAGGTATCGCGGGGTGGCAAAATGTTTATTACGCGCCCACCCACCCACTCTAGGGTTAAAGGCTAATGATGCTCAGTTAGCGCCGGTCATCATTATCGTTAATCTATACTAATAATAGTAAAGTATCCAGTGCCTTTAGCCAAACACCACTTTAGCGTTGCCTGACACTGACAAATCTCAAAAATTTACGTCAATTCTATATAATTTAGTTTTCCATTCTAAATGGCATTTGGCTACAGCTGCAGTTTTCTTATTTTTCGAATAACCAATTAAAGTAGATCGGCACTTATTGGTTCGATTCCCGTATTTAATGAATGACTAAAGTTGATGCACAGGTTGGCGCAATGGTGCCATTTACAAAACAATTCTGTGTGTTCCACAAATTGTTCCGGGTGTTGTGTGGGGAAAATCGTAGAATACTAAAAAATCTTCAATGGGGGAAAAATCCTCTACCGTATTTTTGATCACCAAATGGCACAAATGTAGAAAGATGTTTTTTTGGTACAATCACAGCCACTGAAATATTGAATGTCCAATGGCGTGTCAGTAGCCAATTCTCCATTGGACGAAGAACGATAGGTTCATGCTAGCGCCATCTGTTGAGCAAAAATACGGTAAGACTAAAGAAAAACAGAATAGACGTTACGCAATAACTCATATATTATATCTATACACTAGCTGTTGCCCGCGACTTCGTCCGCGTAGAATAATGACTTCTGGCAAAACTTAGGCTTTTGAATTAGTTTTTATCAAGGGATATTCTACGGTAATGGATGTCGTCAGAATTGATTCAGTCCCGTAGATGATAGCGTGATAATATGTAGCCTATATGTTTACCAGACTTGTTAGTAATATTCATGCAAAATTTGAAATAGTAGTGCAGTACTTTTTGAGATCATCACGGCCATACATACAGACAAACAGACAAAAATTCTAAAAACCACATTATTGGCTTCGGTATCGATTAGAGATCACGCTTCAAATATTCTTTTAAAAAATATTCAATGTACAGTTTTGACTTTTCTACGATTTATTATATGTGTAGATAGCTGTTGCCCGCGACTTCGTCCGCGTAGATTAATGACTTCTGACAGAATTAACCAGAATCAATTCAGTGCCCAAGTAAGATTTACCTATTTTGAAATGATTTATCGTAGTTTCAATAAATAAATAATCCCGCAGGGATCTTACCAGTACAGTGCCCGATCACGTAAGGTTTGAGTAATAAAAACTATTCTATCGACTATTGTTGTACCGAATCTCTCTAGAATAAGTTCAGTGGTTAAGAGTTAGAGAGTCCTGGGGCATTGACGCATAGTTCCCGTTCTCGTGAGACATCTGTGAAAAAACTATCATACGTTACCCAGGTCCCAAATCATCGTTTTACCGAATGTAATTCAAAAAGATTCAATGATTCTAAATTCAACGGCTAAGAAGATTTATACAAACTCTCATTCCCTATTTTATCCCCTTAGGGGTGGAATTTATCAAAATCCTTTCTAAAGAGATACCTATGTCATAGTAACTTTATGCATGCAAAGTCTCAGCCCGATCAATTTAAAACTGGCAAAGTATCATACTTTGGGGTGAGAATGTTCAAAAACCTTTCTAAAGGGACGTTTACGTCATAATATCCATCTGCACGCCGAATTTCAACCCGATCGGTGTAAAACTGACAAAGCCTCACACAAACGTTCATCCCCTATTTTACCCCCTTGGTGGAAATTATCAAAATCCTTTCAAAGCGGATGCTTACGTCATAACATCTATCTGCATGCCAAATTACAACCCGATCGGTTTAAAACTGACAAAGTCTCATACAAACTTTCATCCCCTATTTTACCCCCATTGGGGGTGGAAATTATCAAAATCCTTTCACATCGGATGCTTACGTCATAACATCTATCTGCATGCCAAATTACAACCCGATCGGTTTAAAACTGACAAAGTCTCATACAAACTTTCATCCCCTTTTTTACCCCCTTGGGGGTGGAAATTATCAAAATCCTTTCACAGCGGATGCTTACGTCATAACATCTATCTGCATGCCAAATTTCAACCCGATCAGTTAAAAACTGACAAAGTTTCATACAAACTTTCATCCCCTTTTTTACCCCCTTGGGGGTGGAAATTATCAAAATCCTTTCTTAGCGAATGCCTACGTCATAACATCTATCTGTATGCCAAATTTTAGCCCAATCTGTCCAGCGGTTTGGGCTGTGCGTTGATAGATCACTATGTCAGTCAGTCAATCAGTCAGTCAGTCAATCACCTTTGAATTTTATATATATAGATAGTAAGTATAGGTATACTAATAACGTGTCAAAATAAACATTTGTTTACCATCCACACTTTCTCTTCGCCTGAATATGCATAGACTTTGTTGTGCGGATATAAAATAACCTAATACAAATAGTATGTATTTTATGTAATAATAATACATTATCTAAAATG